TTATTTGATCAAGATTAAAATAAGACATGTATTTGCAAAGTTCTGCTAACCCTTTGAAGATTTTTTGCTGACACCAGGATTGAAAAGTTGATGTTTTATGGATTTACTTATAGATAAGGGATGGGATATGGGATGAAGTGTTATCTGTTTGTAATCTTATAGGAGGTGAAGAGCTACTAAATTTGCCTATACTTGTAATGAAGGTTGGAAGTCACTTATTTACATATTTCTTTTTCTTTACCATATTCCTTCTTTTCTTTATTTTCTTTTTCCTTGCACTTTTAATTCTTTCTTACTATTCTTTTTTCTTTAAGTTTAGTTAGTTTTTACTTTTGTAATAAAAATCCTTAAATATAAATACATACATACATACATACATTTATTTCCTTGAGTTTTCCTGCAAGTGCAGGGTCCTCTCTCTCTCTCTCCCCCCCCCAAAGGGGAAGCACAGAAAATATGGAAAACATCCTAACATTGTGCTGCATTAAGTGATAGTTCCATAGGATGTGCAATATTTGCATATACTGTATAACATTCAAACTACTAAACTACTCCAGAAGCTTTCAGGCAGCAAAGGTAACTAGCCCCTTTTCTGGAGATTTCTGGGGTTGAGTTTGCTAGTAAGAAGATATACTCCTTATCTAACCAGTCAGGAATAGCAGACTGTTCTCCATCTTGTCTGCAGGTCAGACTCAAGTCCACATTGGTTTCCTTGATCCCAAGTGGGATCAAAGTCTGAGCAGACAGGCTGGTGTTTGAGATCAACTGTGCTCCATTTTTTGAGGACCATACAAAATTATCTATGAATGTGAAAGGAGCTGGACATCTCTCATTAAAAGCCAGTTTTGGCTAGAATCTTAAGCGGCATAGTCTAAGCAACTAGCCCAAATTTCTGGAACAATCAGGAACCAGTAACAAAAGCCTGTCATCAGGGAGAAAATAACTGCTATACCCAAAGACCGTCTTCCTTTATCAACAAGACTGTTCATAGCAAGGAGCATTAGTTGGGCTGGTTGAAGAAGGTGAATGGCAGGTATGCTCTGGGTAAAAACAGCTGGGTAGCCCTCTCTCTTTGCATAGAAAGCTGACAGCCAGCTCTGTTATCATCACATACAGTCAGGTCCAGAAATATTGGGACATCGACACAATTCTAACATCTTTGGCTC